AAAGTATGGCATAGTAGTAGATTGAGTTAAAGCAGTTCAAAAGTACCAACGAATCCAAATGTTCCTTATATTGCAGTTATAGTGAAGTGCATCTTATTCAAGCTGCAAAGTACAAGTGGGGTAGGTTTGCATTGTTGAAAAGGTAATATATTTAGCGAAATTCAAAAAGTGCACACTTTATGGCACTACGTCCTCGGGCGTACAACGGGCGACAGGGCAAATAACTGGTTCATCCCGTCATCGCAAGGGAAACGCCACCAGTACCGTATTTAAAAAGAAGAACTCCAGTCCAAAGAAGGCGACAGAATGAGAAGTCGAAAGACTGTCGGCTGTGACAACAAGTAAGACAAAGGCCACCAAAACCAACGTGTGGTGAATAAATAACTAACTCTACAGAAAAGTTGACATTCCGATGACAGGAACTGATTTATTTTCAATCTATAGGAGAACGGGAGGAAGCACCAGAAGCTGCATTAACATAACAAAATGCTACAGAATAGGGAAGAAGTAACCTCCAGTCAAAAGTGTAAAAATAATGCAAATGACGAGCTAAATCGGTGCCTATCACGCCTAGCCACCATTTTGTGCTAAGCAATAAAAAAATGCCCGCCTTTCCCAATCCTCTTCCATCAGCCGGATATCGACGCGCGTGTCATGGAGAATGTTCAACTCATCGAGGTAGACAGAGAATCAAGGGATTTGTGGTTGGTTCATTATAGCACTCGGCATGTTATAAAAAGACAGCAACAGCAGAACTCTTTCATCTACCTAGTCACTATGATGCGGCTTAATTGGAATGACAACAATCTTCAAAGTAAGTCTTCGTCCGTCCAACACCTTGGTCCGAGTCCAGACCACCTACAAAGCGTAGAGCCTGGCCCACGATCGCAGTTGAATTCACAAAAGGCTACTACTCATAAGAACATCATTCAACTAATGTGCGTCAAGCATGGACATCCGGACCGCAATTACTAAAACTTATATTTGTCCACACTCAACCCAACCTCCTTTTCAACTTACTACGTAATCTTATTGTCTTATAATGGCTTAAGGGTGATAAATGCTAAACTGCAAACTTTAGTTCGAGACCAGGAGCAAATTCGATGACCCGGTGGGGTCATGCACAACTAGAGCCTAAAACAAGTGCGAAATTCGGCGACAAAGCTGTTTCACACAAAGTGAGAGGCATCAAACGAAGAGACATATAAAAACGCCCCCAAGAGCCCGCGTTCGTGCAAAAAGTGTCTTATTGATAAGAAGTGCTTCGGATCGAGTGTCTATTTCTGGAGCTTCAGTCCGCCCACGCGGGCGAAATGAAAGACCATATTTCTTCCACTCAGTCTAGCGCCTTGCCTCACCAATGTTAGCCGATAGAGTTAATCAAAACAACGCCTACGACAGTGGGAAAGGTGGAAAATATTTCCAATTTCCTTATTTTTGGTAACATCAAATAGGGGAAACATATCCGAAGTGAAATGGGAAATAGCTTGAGCGTTTGAAGCAGATCTAATTACTAGAGAAGCTATTTTGTACTAGGACTAATGCAATTCAAAATTGTTAAAGTACGCCACATTTAAGCGTTTGATGAAAGCCTCAAAGCAAGATACCCTTGAAAACTTCTGAGCCAATCCCATCCAATTACTTCCCTTAAAAGTGGATTTCGCCAATTTTGAACGCAACCGAACAGTTTCGCCCTGCGCAACATAAAAAAACGGGGAAGCAACAATAAAAGTTGAAATGGTGTAGTAAAATGTATAAACATTGGGGTTTCCATGAGACGATCGGGAACATACAGGCTAAGAGGTGGTACGAACTTTAAAGTGGTAGAAATACGAGCCACAGTGCTTACGTAAGCTTTTCATCATGTTGACTAAGGGGAGAAGTCTTCGCATCCCTCAAGGCTACCTTGCAGAGTAGTGATTAAGGCACTTCATTAAAAAACTTTCGAAAAAAAGCACGAAACTTCAAACTCCTGGGGGCAAAGCTCATAAAGCTCAATGTCCGATGTAAGCATATCTTCGCTACGGGCAATTTATTGTTTTAGCCAACCAAAGTGCACCCCAGTAACTATGAAGTAGCGCTTTAAAAAATGCG